AAAATGAATTGAAAATCAGAATATGCATATTTTTCTGTTTAAAAGTGTCTTTATTTCGATTTGATAGTGGCTTTTGTTTAGAGGTAATATTGTCTACCGAGCATATAAGTTCTTTCAGTGTACGTTTTCCCGCAAAAAGTACCATAGAACAGGCTAAAACAAAAACACAAACGATTACTCAATCATTTCTCTAAAACAGTACTCGCAAAACTTCATTACACCCTTAAAAAAGGTCCAGTCTTACAGCCTAAATTGCTACAGCTTCCTCGTTTAACAACCGTAATGTTATCGACCTTTACACTCTTTTTTTTAATTTGGCTCATAAATTGGATAAAAATTACATACCGCGACACGCTGTAATAAAATGTGCTCGCTGTGTAATTCTGAAATCTTCCTATGTCTGTCCTTTGTGACTGTCAATAGTCTTTAAAGTCAGGTGCTTTTCGCTATAAACAAACGTTTCCGAGAAAATGACGTCAGCATAATTTGTGGAAAGCAATTTCTCGGAAAGCATTTAAATAGCGAAGCGCGCGAGTGACGTCATAATTGAGACAAATTCAGACAAACAAAACGGAATGGTGGAAGACTTGACGCTTTTTCAAGCGCGTAAGCAAATGTTCTTAGAACAGTTTTTAAAACAAAAATTTAGCGTTCATTTTCCTCCTATTTCTCTCAGAACACGCTAGTGAAAACAGATTATCGGAGTCGGAAGCAGAAACGGAAGAACCAACCAATCACAAGGCCCAGAATCGAGCATTGTGATTGGTTTATTCTTCCGCTTTTGCTTCCGATTCCGACAATCTAGTTTTTACTAGATCGTAAGCGACGGAGTCATAAGCGGAATGGGTGTTCTTCTTCCGACTCCGTCGGATTGATTTTCACCAGATCGCATCGCTTTACGCTTTTGATTATGACTCCGACTACAACTCCNACCAGCCTTCAGTTGGCAACTGATGACATGAATCACTTCAAGAGAGAACACATCCCCCATACATAGGCTTTTTCCAATGATAATCTTTTTTCCATCTAATCTTAGCGCGTGGTTATACTGCGAGACTATTTTACGAAAGATGCCTGATTGGTTTAAGGTTTAGTTAAGGTTTAGTTTAGTTAATCAAGTATGCAAAAAAATGCACCTGGCCTGGATTTTCGAAGCGCAATTCGCAAGGAAAGAGGAGGAAAAAATTACCTGTCCGGCGCTTTTAAAGAGCTTTCCAAAGAGATCTTTTTCGCTCTAATCGGTTCAGTACTTTTCGAGGAACGACTTTTGAACGGTGTATAATGCAATGAGGTTCAGCAGCCATGGCGCCTCATGTGAATCAGTAAAGCAGAGAGATGACAAGACTTATTTTCGAAGTAAACTTAGGATAAACACATAGAAGATAATTTTCCTGCCCAGCGCTTTGAAAATGCTTTCCAAAGAGACCTCTCTCGATCTAAACGCTGCGGTAGTTCCGGAAAAGTTTTTTCGCCGAGGATATCCAGACTGTGGCAAATATTACACAGCACTTTGGAAATTAAACATGCAAAAATTTGCACCGGGATATTTGGAGCGA